TACTGTATATCCACTCCACAACAGGTTACTCCCACCATGTCCACACCAGGAAGGAAAGGGCGAGAAGAGAGGTGAGAAAACTATATCGCTTTAAAGCGCTTCCTGAGAAAATAAAACTCCGCCTAGTGACATCATTTATCACACCGATTTTAACTTACCCAGCAATACCTCTTCATACTATGAGCACCACTCAAATATTAAAATTACAGATGGTCTAAAATGAAGCCCTAAGATTCGTCAAAGGTGAAAGATACCCCTTCACCAGAACCACAGCCGAGATACATAGAGACCTGAGAATAAAACCCACCAACCAGCAGCTGCACACCCTGGCCAGCAGAATCTGGCAAAAGATAGAACGATCAGAGCAAGAACTCCTTCAAAGACTCCCACCAGATAACGACAACAACCATACATGGTTCCCAAAAAGTTACCAAATCTCAAAAGGTCCATTACCACCCCCGATCTACACGGCCAGGCAATATATACATATTTTTTTTATTATTATTATTTATTGGGCATTCCCCTACATCTTTGTGCAAGGTGAAGCGCAGAAGCGTTTACAGCGCCCAACAGGGAAGCATGCTAAGTTCATGCTTGCCTTTATGTCTCATGAGTTAAGGGCTAAGAAGCCTGAAGAATCAAGGACATAGAAGCCTGAAGAGTCAATGGTTTTATGTCATCAAGTTATTGGAAGCTTCAACAACTTGTCCCTGAATACGAATTCGCAACTTTCGATTTACACCAGGTACCTACTTTACTGCTAGGTGAACAGGGACTAAAGGGGGCTGGGAAGTATGTCCAAACAACTTCCACCGGCCCGGGAATTGAACCCGTGACATCTCGCTTGCGAAGGTAAGAGCGGTACCAATAGACAACGAAATATGAAATAAGGCCCTTAAAACACCCATGTATGGGATAGGGTAGGATGTCTAGTGCCTGTACCGACAGACAAGAACTAACTCATGACACAACCCTAACACACTATTAGCTTAGCTAGGCGGCCAGCCCGCCCTCTCTTACCTCCTCCTAAATTTCTTCAATTTCCGAACTATAACTTCCTTCCCCCACCTCTAATCTTCTTTCACCCCTCCTTCCTCTACAAAAAAAAAGTGGTAAGGGGGTCAGGTGGTGGTGAGGTGGTCATGGGGTATTGAGGGGGTCATGGGGTTAGTGATGGGGGCAGGGGGGTAGTGAGGGCGTTAGGGGGTAGTGGGGTCAGTTGGGGTCAAGGGAGATCAAAGGGCTGGTAGTGGAAGGTAGTGGTGGCTGGCGGGGCGGGGCGAGAGGAGGGGGTATCAGTCACAAGCTGCCCCACATTTGCTGTTTATACATCATCGAGGTCTGTTCAGTACCACACGTGACCACCACCTCCCTCCTTCAGCTGCTCCCACACACACCTTGTTAACATCTGCAGGACACACCAAACTGTTACTACCTGGAACCAACATGCAGAGAGAACTGCGTTGTCTTGTCTACATGTGTCTGCCATACTAAACTACCGCTACTCTCCCCCCACCAGAAAACAGGTATACATCATGCTGAAATGTATGCGTATGTATATGTTAGGGTTTTTTTTATTGCGAAATTGGTCATTTTGCAAAATTTCCGGCATGTATATTGATAATTTTGCAAAATAATTTACAAACAGGCTAACCAAAGTAAAAAAAAAGAACAGGATCACTTAACTGTGTATCAATCTACACGAGCCATCCTAACCTAACCTTAACCTAACCTAACCTAACCTAACCTAACCTAACCTAACCTAACCTAACCTAACCTAACCTAACCTAACCATAAGGTTAGGTTAAGGTTAGGTTGTCTATCTGTAAGTTATTTCGCAAATTTACGGGCAAGTAAAATAACCGATTCCGCAAAAAAACGTAACAAACTGTAGATATGAGCCGGGCAGAAACTGAGGTACCCATATTTACCTGTTTATGTATGAGACAGGACAGTGGTGTATATCTTGTATACATGAATTCAGAATATGTCGGGTAAACGAGAGAGTATGGCATGTGAACATATTGGAGTACGTGATGTAAACACTAAAATCCGACACTGAAACACTCATTAATATTTATATGATTAACTACGACACATTGGTGGAAAATCTGCAACAGACTACTGATGTAACCATGATATGTTGCTAGAATAACCACGGCATCTGTAGGAATAAACACAACATACTGCTGAAATAACCACAACATGCTGCTGAAATAACCACAACATACTGTTGAAATAACCACAACATACTGCTGAAATAACCACGACATATTGCTGAAATAACCACAACATATTGCTGAAATAACCACAACATGCTGCTGAAATAACCACAACATGCTGCTGAAATAACCACAATATGCTGCTGAAATAAACACAACATACTGCTGAAATAACCACAACATACTACTGAAATAGCCTTAACATGCTGCTGAAATAACCACAACATGCTGCTGAAATAACCACAACATGCTGCTGAAATAAAGAACATACTACTGAAGTAACCACAACATATTGCTGATATACAACATACTGCTGAAATAACCGACATACTGCTGGAAATAACCGACATACTGAAATAACCACATATTGCTGAAATATACAACATACTAATGAAATAGCACAATATGCTGCTGAAACACAATATGCTGCTGAAATAAACCAACATACTGCTGAAATAACCACAACATACTGCTGAAATAATACGACATACTGCTGAAATAACCACGACATATTGCTGAAATAACCACAACTTATACTGCTGAAATAACCACGACATATTGCTGAAATAACCATATACTGCTGTATGACTGCTGAAATAACATGCTGCTGAAATAACGACATATTGCTGAAATAACCTCACATACTACTGAAATATACTGCTGAAATAACCACAATATTGCTGAAATAACCGACATACTGCTGAAATAACCGACATATTCTAATATACAACATACTGAAATAACCACGACATACTGCTGAAATAACACGACATACTGCTGAAATAACTACATTATTGCTGAAGTAACACAACATACTGAAATAACCACGACATACTGCTGAAATAACCACAACATACTACTGAAATAGCCACAATATACTGCTGGAAATAACCACAACATATTGCTGAAATAACCACAACATGCTGCTGAAATAATACAACATGCTGCTGAAATAACAATATGTGTGAAATAAACCATACTGCTGAAATAACCACAACATACTGTAGAATAATACATACTGCTGAAATAACAACATGCTGCTGAAATAACCACAACATGCTGGAAATAAGAACATACTGGAAGCTAACCACAACATATTGCTGATATAACCATAACAACTTCCTACAGAGATCCAGGACAAGTGAAGATGAAAACAGCAGATTATAGGCGTCGACTGGTGGTTAGGTTAGATTAACGAGGTTAGGTTAAGTTCGTAAGGTAAGGTTAGGTTAGGTTGGGTTAGGTTTAAGAAGTAGCATCAAACGGGCACTCAAGGGTACTTTATTAAATAATGTACTTTTCATCGAAACTCCTGTGCTAGCCATTAATCTAGTACCTACAGATGACAACATCAACACCGCATGCGGACGTCCCATCGCCCATCAATATCGCACCACCACCCACCAGCTAGTCACATCACCGCATGCGGACGTCACCTACCATTATCATAAAACCACATCCAGTTGGCCGCGCGGAGGCGTCAACAAGGACAACCGCCGGGCAGGATTAACGAGCTGTTGTAGAGGCAGGTGGTCTCGGAACACCTCCTCGGTCGCTATTGCCAGAACTATTCACACTCGCTGTCAGTGATTAGACAAGGGCAGTTAGGTGGCTCAGGACTCTGCAGTGGCCAGGAGGAAGAAGAACAGAAGGAGGAGGCAGAACAGCAAACAGAAGGAACAGCAGAAGCAGGAGGAGGAGGCAGGAACAGCAGAAGAAGGAGAGGAGGCAGGAACAGCAGAAGCAGGAAGAATGAGGATGAAGGAACAGCAGAAGCAGGAGGAGGCAGGAACAGCAGAAGCAGGAGGAGACAGGATCACAAAACAGGAAGAGGGAAAGAACATCAAACGGGAAGAAAGACAGCAGAAGAAGGAAGAGGAGGAGCAGCAGAAGAAGCAGGAAGAATGAGGATGAAGGAACAGCAGAAACAGGAGGAGGCAGAAACAGCAGAGACAGAATAGCAAACAGGAGGGAGGGAGGAACAGCAAAACAGGTAGGAGGAGGAGGCAGGAACAGCAGAAGGAGGAAGAGGAGGACATAGTAACAGCAAAAGCAGGAAATACAGAAGGAGGAGGAGGAGGAGGAAGAGGAGGAGGAGGAGGAGAAAAAAGAGCAAAGAAAGACCAACAACAGAACCACACGATTAGAGGAGACAACAGGAAAACGAACAGGTATATTATATGAGTACATTATTAACAGGATCTTGCCATACCTGACATAACACTCCAACACACAGGTTTACACCATGTTGACCTGACCTTAAGGAAACTTTAGAAAAATAAATAAACACGGATCAAAAAAAAAAAAAAAATCCAAATTTTAACCAGAAAAGTATCAAACTTCAATAACAAGAAAAAAAATCGCATGAAGAATAATTAATTTAGGAACAACTAATCAATATAAAAAACGGTAAAAAAAAAAAAACCCAAGCTGGAAACTTAATAACAAAACAAAAACATATCATAAACAATCAGGAGACGAAGACAATCAAAACAATCATCTCGTTAGTTCATCTCAATGTTCTTCAGTTTTTTTTCTTCTTCATCTAAAACCACACAAATTAAACTAGAAATTTACCTGAATTAATTTAACATAATCTGGATATATATTTTTTACCTATTTCACTTCACTCCCACACAATACATTTTCCTTTGTAATATTAACTTTATCAATTATTATTATCCCTCACATATTCCTTCGTTCCTTTATACATATTACATCAGTACTAAGAGAACACAACACGGTTGCTATGTTTATACTCACAACCCTCAACACCAGCCAACCCTCAACACAACCCGCAACACCAATTATCACACCAACCTGCCCTCAACACCAGCCCCACAGCCCTCAACACCATTGCAACCCTCAACACCAGCCCACAGCCCTCAACACCAGCCCACATCATCAACACCAGCCCAGCCCCTCAACACCAGCCCACAGCCCTCAACACCAGCCAACCCTCAACACCACCCACAGCCCTCAACACCAGCCCGCCCTCCAACACCAGCCCACAGCCCTCCCAACACCAGCCCACAGCCTCGCACAGCCCGGCCCCTCAACACCAGCCCACAGCCCTCAACACCAACCCCACAGCCCTCAACACAGCCCACAGCCCTCAACACCAGCCCACAGCCCTCCCAACACAGCCCACAGCCTCAACACCCAGCCTGCCCTCAGCACCAGCCCACAGCCTCACCACCAGCCACAGCCCTCCCAACACCAGCCCCAGCCCTCAACACCAGCCCACAGCCTCAACACAGCCACAGCCTCCTCCAGCACTCCCTCTGGTCATATCACAATTCCCTGATCCTGTTTTAATATCGTAGTATTTTTTTATTAATATTAAAGTTCATACTCTGAATATTTTTTCTCATTAGCATTTTTAATTTTGCTTCTGTGTAAACAGTAAAAAAAGTCCCCACACTGACATTTTTTGCCGCCACAACTAATCTTGACAAGTACCACCCAGTGAGGTTGTGTCCATAAATTAAGGTCGAGTCCGTAACAGTTTATGAGAGTTGGCCTGTTAATTTGAGGATGAGTCCGTAATAATTTGAGATGAGTCCGTAATAATTTGAGGTTGCGTCCGTAATAATTTGAGGTTGTGTCCGTAATAATTTGAGGATGAGTCCGTAATAATGAGGATGAGTCTGTAATAATTTGAGGTTGCGTCCGTAATAATTTGAGGTTGCGTCCGTAATAATTTGAGGTTGTGTCCGTAATAATTTAGGATGAGTCCGTAATAATTTGAGGATGAGTCCGTAATAATTTGAGGAGGAGTCCGTAATAATTTGAGGTTGCGTCCGTAATAATTTGAGTTGCGTCCGTAATAATTTAGGAGTTTGTCCTGTAATAATAGGATGAGTCCGTAATAATTTGAGATGAGTCCGTAATAATTTGAGGTTGTATCCGTAACTGTTTTGAGGTTGTGTCCGTAACAGTTTATTTCTCCAGTGATTGAGGTAATTAACTGGTGGATGGTGGGAGAAGGTGAGCGAATGCGACTAGATTTGGCTTGGTTAAGTTTGGTTTGACTAAGTTAGGTTAGTTTGCATTAACTTAGCGTTAGTGGTCAAATCTTACGTGGATTAAACTAAGAGGTTAGGTTAGTTGGATTAGCTTACTGTTAGTGGTCAAATCTTACGTGGATTAAACTAAGAGGAGCCTAATGTTCATGTGGTTCATATTTTTCACCAGTTTTCCTCCACTCCTCTTGGCACGGGAGCCACAATCAACGCTCTCCACATATTTGCTCTCAGTACACAATCAGATACTTTCTTCCTACACCTAAAAAATCCTTGGGCCGCTCAAGACTGTGTTCCCAACTTCTTTTCAGGGTAAGACTTAAGGCTGCTGTTTGGTGTATTAGCCTGCTGCTTCTTCTTCTTCATCATCATCATTTTCATCATCATTTTTTTTATATTTTCATTCTCATTTTCATCGTCATTTTCATCATCATCTTCCGTGTCCACAATGCCTCCCTGGAAGCCCTTTTTTTCTGATGTTTTTGTCTTTGAGGTGTTTCCAGAATCCATTCCTCTAAATTATCTTTCCAGCGTGGCTAATGAGGGTACTTCTTGAGTGACTCGTGGGGGGAACTTCTTCAGGTGACTCGTGGGGGGAACTTCTTCTAGAGTGACTCATGGGAACTTCTAGAATCTAGAGTGATTTGTAAGGAAAATTCTCCCTTTGTTTATCGATTTTTTAAAGACCTTTATCCTCTTACTTCTCAGTGACTTCTGCAAATTGATTTTATATTTTTCTATTAAAGGTTCATCTATTTCTGACCATATGGAACTTATTTTACTTTTTTGTATGTGGACACTCGTCTTTACTGCTGTCTGGCTGTCTATGTTTACGGGCAATAAGATCTTTGGCTCTCACCTGTCCATTGTCTGAGTCAACAGGGGATAACAGTGGTGCTATTGGTGGTTATTAAGACAACGGTAGCTATTGATTTTGCTGCAGCTGATATTGGCAACGGTGGTAGTGGTCTTACCATCAATAGTTATGGCGTCAGTGATGGTGGGAGTAGTATTAGTGGTTGTGGTGGTGATGGTGGTGGTGGTGGTGGTGGTGGTATTAGTGGTGGTGGTGGAAATAATGACTCCGATGGGACAGCGATGTTGTGTATGGTAATGCTGTACGAAACAATGTTCATCGCGCAAGAAAATATTGAGCCCTTTGGCGATAACTGAAACGTTATTATGAAAATGATGTGTCCATATTGCACACACACACACACACACACACACACACACACAAAAACAATACTATACACAATCTTCAACACAAGCAGCTAACATGCGACTCAATAAAACTTTGGAAAATAAAACACACCACGCAGGGAGCCACATGGCGAATAGGGCCACACAGGGAGCCACATGTGGGGTGAGCGTTGTCACACAGGAGGGCCACATGGGAGTGAGAGAGACACACACGGGGAAAGCATGGGGGTGAGCAGGGGCCCACAAGGGAGGACCACATGGGGGTGAGTGGGACAACACAAGGGACCACATAGGGGGGGTGAGCGGGCCACAAAAGAGCACAGGTGGTGAGGATACAAGGGACCATGGGGGTGGGTGGGGGCCACACAAGGGCACATGGGGGTGAGCAGGGTCCACACAAGGGACCACATAGGGGTGAGTGGGGCCACACAAGGAGCACATGGGGTGAGCAGGGCCACTCAGAGGGCCACATAGGGGGTGAGTGGGGCCTCAGGAGCACTGTGGGGGTGAGCGGGGCCACACAAGGGACCATAGGTGAGCAGGGCCCACAAGGGAGCACATGGGGGTGAGCGGCCACAAAAGGAGCACATGGGGGTGAGCAGGGCCATGAGGGGCCACATAGGGGTGGGTGGGGCCACAAGGGAGCACATGGGGGGTGAGCAGGGCCACTGAGGTCCATGGGGGTGAGGCAGGGCCACAGGGGAGCACATGGGGGTGAGCAGAGCCACAAAGGGACCACATAGGGGGTGAGTGGGGCCACACAAGGGAGCACGTGGGGGGTGAGCAGGGTCAAAGGGACCACATAGGGGGTGAGGTGGGGGCCACACAAAGGGAGCACATGGGGGGTGAGAGGGCCACACTAAGGGACATAGGGGTGGGGTGGGCCACTAAGGAGCACATGGGGTGAGCGGGGTCCACAGGGGCCCATAGGGGTGGCAGGGGTCACCAGGGGGCCACATAGGGGTGAGCAGGGGTCACTGAGAGCCACATGGGGGTGAGCGAGATCATACAGCGTTCTTATGTTAAATTTTCCTCATACTGGAGACACAATAACACATCTAGCTGGCGGGACTCGCTAAGTTCTAAAACTTCATCCAAATGGGTGTTAAAATTACTGCAGACTCTACCTTAACTATACATACGTTTGCCCCTTTACTGATATAAAGTCTTAGTTCAATTTCAAAGTCATTTTACCCTTTAACTGCATAACGTACAGCTTATGTATAAAGATCAGGTCCTCGAACCAAATCGACATCATCTTGGCCATCACTTTTGCGTCATAGCTTAAGATGTCAACCAGTTAAATGTGTTCTCAGGTATCAGATTAAACGGAGCTTAAATTCAACGTAAGTAGCATTGAGAATTCAGACTCCTAAATCTCCGGGTCTCTTAAGGGAAAAACACATACAAAAAATCAGGATGGGGATAAGGAGAGTGGTGGGGTCAGGGATGGGTGGTGGGAGTGGTGAAATGGGTGGTGGGAGTGGGGAAATGGGTGGTGGGAGTGGGGAGGTGGTGAATGTTAGGGAGGTGTTAGAGCCATCCAAATTGTCACCGTAGCTAAGGCTGACAGCATCCAGCTCGGAGACGATCCTAATACCACCATCTAGACATCGCTTCTGACAGGGCGGAAGTAGGACCTTCTGGTATGGGAGAGGGAGTGTTTTAATTTTTTTGTGTGGGGGGGGGTTCTTTAGGGGTTTTGAGATTTTATCAAATGAAATTTGGGCTAGGTTTGGTTTTCAGTAGTTTTGTTTTTGGGATTTGTTGTTTGGTGGGTATTTTCTGTCGAGAAAAAATGTACAATTGAACATTTATTAAGCAAGAATATTTAGATACAGGTAAGGAGAGAAGGGAGGAGGAGAGGGAGGGAAGAGGAGGAAGGGGGAAGAAGGGGAGAGAAGAGGAGGGAGGAAGGAGGAAGAAGGGGAGAGGAGGAGGGAAAGGAGAAGGGAGGAGGAAGGGAAGAGGTGAGAAGGAGGGAGGCAGAATTTCATGAAAAGGGTGAAGCAGTGGAGAGGAGGGCCCTTATGTGAGGGTTGGTCTGATAAAGGGTTGTTTATTAGAAATACAGTTTGGTGGACTGATGTCTGGTGGATGGGGCCGTCTGGTGGATGGGGCAGTCTGGTTGAAGGGCCGTCTGGTGAAAGGGCCGTCTGAAGGAAGGGCCGTCTGGTGGAAGGGCCGTCTTGTGGAAGGGACCGTCTGAAGGAAGAACCGTCTGGTGTAAAGAGACCGTCGGTGGAAGGTCCATCTGGTGGAATGGGCCGTCTCCTCGAACACGCCCATTCGTATGAAGAGACCTTTTAGTGAAGAGAGACAGTCTGGCGAATAGCTGGATGTCTGCTGGAAAGTACCATTGTCGGAGGAGTCAGTTGGGCCTGAACAGGTTTTAGCGTGGGGCAGGGGAGGACAGCGGCATTGTGGGGGGACCAATTGCCAAAAACAAGTGGTGCAGAGATGAAACTATCCTCCTACTACAAGTGAATGTTGGCGTCGCGGCGTGTTGGTCCGGTGGAGTGTTGTGAGGCGTGGGGAAGGAGAAAAGCTGTGGGATGTTTGATGGTATGTTTGTATGGGAGAGAGGGAGGAGGAGAGAGGCGGCATAATAGCGGATGTGAAGCAAGAGGTGTAGGAGGAACGAGGAAGTCCTGCTGTGTGTTTCAATGGTGGGGCCGTCGGCTACAATAACAGAGAGTGGCCCATGTTGTTGATGGATCTATGGTCGTCGTTAGTCATGACTTTTTTTCTCCCTTCTTTTCTTCGCTAACTGACGTCTTGGGTGTTATTTGATGGCTCTAACAACTGTAACACAGTTAAACGAAGATACAATGATTTTTTTCCTGTGACGACATCTGAAGGTATAGGATGGTGGGGATGTGTCGTCATAGTAGTAGTAGTACGTTAGTAGTAGCAGTCCATGTAGTAATAATATTACGCACAACAGGTCATCTCACATTCCACACATCCAACACATCTCATAATATTTGGGGTGTTTATCTACCAACTTTATTGCATTTCTCCTCCAATTTGGTAGGTAATCACCACAGTAACCAGAGCTAACTATAACAAGGCACTTTAAAAGGTTCAAGCAATTTTTCAAGTGTATCATGAACTCTTGACAACATAGATAAAGGCTGTACTGTACATCTAATGCTTGAGGAATATACTAATTAAATTAAATTATTAGATTTTAAATTAATATGAGAATGAAATGATTATATGTTTGTTGTTTGTCGTTCACAGTGAATGAATAAGTGGTATATAGGAAGAATATAATAATAATAATATTAATAATAATAATAATAATAATAATAATAATAATAATAATAATAATAATAATAATAATAATAATAATAATAATAATAATAATAATAATGATAATAATAATAATAATAATAATAATAATAATAATAATAATAATAATAATAATAATAATAATAATATTAATAATAAAAAATAATAAAAACCTATAAAAAACATTGTAATACCAGTGTATCAGGGGGTGGTGTGGGGTGGGGGGTGGTGTGGGGTGGGGGGTGTGGGGTGGGGGTGGTGTGGGGTGGGGGTTAGTCTACAGGTGAGACTTTAAATACAACTTGACAAAGAAATACCATGAAGGTGTGCTGTTGGCAGGTGAGCGGGAGTGTGGCGGCCTGGTGGCTGCCAACTGTTGACTCAGTTAGTTGTGAAGAATTAATTACCTGACTGTTAATAGTCATTTGCCTTGTATATCGGCCTCACTAAGGTATACATGTTTGAATTCCCCTGTTGCAGCAGAGAGAAATATACTCGTACAAACATGGAGAGTGTCAAGTCATTGGTGTCGCAGAAGGGGCTGAGTCAACCATCCACCCACGGCTACCTCCATACACCCATCCACACACCCATCACACAATGCCCTTCATCCACTCATCCTCTGATCTCTCAAACACCACAAACCATCAAACACCGCCCACCCTCCTGCTGAAGTCAAAAACAAAACACCTTCCAGCATCACCATCAACCCACCCAGTCACCCACAAAGCACAGCCAGTCAAGCACCCTATCTTTCATCAATGCAATCAACCACAAGTGTACTCTCCCACCCACACAAACTCACCCAAATACACCTCCACGCAGTCACCACCCACCCTCCCACACAGTCCCCCACCCTCACCCAGTCATCCACCTCCGCAGTCACCCACCCAGCCGCAGTCACCCACCTCCCACGCAGTCACCCACCTCCACGCAGTCACCACCCTCCCGCAGTCACCCCACCCTCCACGCAGTTACACACCCACGCAGTCACCCACCCTCCTACGCAGTCACCACCCTCCACGCAGTCACCCACGCAGTCACCCACCACGCAGTCACCCAGGCACCCACGCAGTTACACCCACGTTACCCACCTCCCACCAGTCACCCACGCAGTCACCCACCCACGCAGTCACCCAGGCACCCACGCAGTTACACACCCACGCAGTCACCCACCCAGTCCTACGCCAGTCTTACCCTCCACGATCACCCACCCACCAGTCACCAGGCACCCACGCAGTCACCTACACAGTCACCCACCC